GTTCCTCCTCCCTACCCTTCCTACCCTCTCCCCCTCCAATCATAATTTATGACCGTCGCGCACTTGTCACATCTGCCACGGCGGCCCAATCTCCAATCTGTTGCTCCACCTCCACCTCCTTTCCCTGCCTGCCAATGATTTTATCGTCTCGCCAGGGCATTTTTGTCGAGAAGAAGAGCAACAAGTCGGTGCTAATTCCAGTTGGAGCACGAGCTAGTGCCTTGTTTTTATGGCCCGGAAGTGTACATTTTCTATGGCTTTTATCCGAGTCGGCGCGCGGCTGTAGTAAAACCCGAGAAAATGTCTTGTCGGCAGGTTCGGAGCCATTTTCTCGGCCTGGTCAGAAATTTCGGCATTTTCTTGGGTCAGCATTTTTAGCGCAAGTTTTTTTGTGATTATTATGACTTCTGATAAACAATAATCCCTGCGCGCTCTTGGTAGTACTTTTTTTTTTTGAAAATCGCCTGAAATCCTGCTATAGATCCTTACCTTTCAAAGCTATTTTTTATGACATAGCCAGGTTCAAAAACTTTCAAAATCCGGCCAAAACATGTTTTTTATAAGATTATTGCACGTTCCTAATACATATTTTGACGACAATGAATTCTTTAGAATTTTGCCTAACGAAAATTTATGATTTTTGGATAACCTGCCCTCAAAGTTCGTTACTGTTCTATGCACTATAGTTCTTTAGCTAGTCGCTCTCTCTCTCTCTCTCTCTCTCTCTCTCTCTCTCTCTCTCTCTCTCTCTCTCTACTATTTCAACCCCTTCAAAATTGTGACCACCCCGCCAGCTAGCGGCATAAAATAAAGGGGCGGTGGTGGCATGGGTGAGACGGGGCAGATCGACCCGCGCCCCGGGATTCCTGCTGCGTCGAGTGTCTTCATTTGAAGGGTATCGATTAAAGGACTATTTAATGAATGTTCAAATCTTTAAAAAAATATATTGTTAACTTGGTCAATTTTTGAAAAGTCCTGGCAAGTCCTCACGACTCACAAATTTTTTGGAATCACTGCAGTTTCCCTTAGATTTTTTCAAGTCCGCTACACGGGACGCAACTGGATTCGATTGCGTAATCGATGATGGAGATCTTTATCTAGTCGAATCAAGAGAATTAATCGAGGATCTAACGACATAATTTTTGAGAAATGTTTTACCTATTTTTCCCCCCGCGAAACGCAACGCACGCGAAGCACATCGATTTCTCATTGCGCAAGTGGCTATGGGGTTTTTCGTGCGTGCGTTGCGTGTCGCGGCTCTGCTAGTTTCTTTATGAAATTCACAGCTAAAAAAATCGGAATCTTTTTGCCGTGGCTTAAGGCAAAGATGGACATGGAAACTCTCTCAAGTTTTCAGGCTTCATGCTTACCTACAAAAACCTATAAAGCTTCTCATGCTCTTGCTCCTCTCTCAAGATCCTCTATCAGAATCACCTCCTGCTGCTCCTCCCGTCGAACCTTTACCCCATTATTCATTCATCCATTCCACATACACACGAGCCGGTTCACCGGTGTGAGTCTTCCAACTCCCGTCGGGAGCGCTTCATAAGATATTCCCCCTCCACTTGCAGGCCCTCCATCTCTATCTCTTCCTCAATTTCTCTCTGTTCTCCAATATCCACACACTCTCTCCCCTATCGCCGACACCCATCCGTCATGTCATCCGGGGGGTGGTGGGGGGAGGAGTTCTCGGGTTCCTTTTCAGTTCTCCCGGATTCCCCCCACTCTCATGTTCACATATTTGCATACAAGCCGATTGGAGGGATATTTTTATTGATTTGTTATCTATAGCACTTTACTTTCTGGATCGTTATATCTGCTTTATATAAACTTATCTCTTATTCTTGTTGTTAGTTGTCGTAAAAATCTACCAAAACTTAAAAAATTATATGATGGAGTTTCTTGAAGTTAAAAAAAAAGGTTTTAAGAGTAAAATGCTGCGAAAATTAATTCACTCTTATAATCAATGCGACGGCAATTTTTTTGAGCCCTGAATCTTACTAAAAAAAAAAAAAATCATGCATGTTAAAATCCCCTTAGCGTTTCCCTGTATGTAAATTATGCAAATCTGGCTTACCCGGTGGTCGCACGTGTTTTTTGGGGGTTTCAAACCTTCCAAACTTTCTAAATCACGATTTGAGCGTTTTTTGGGACGTTTTGGTAGTTCTAGGCATTTTTAATGCATGTTACTTGTTTTTGCAAGTCACCACGTATGCAAATTATCAGATTTTCAATTCATAGATATGTTAACAAATTTTAAACCTGCCAAAACAGTCAAAATTGCCTGTTTTACGACTCCACCCCACCTACCCCCGACAAAGAAGCCGCCCCTGACCTTGACCAGGCCACTTTTCCTGGCATTTCTATGCTTTTTCTGCACCCATCTCTACCCCGGCGCGTTGGCCATAAAAGCAGATTGCCCCCGGCTTACCACGCTTTTTCACCAAACAGGCCGGCAAAAAAATGACAAAAAGAAGGGATGCGCAGCTGTGGAACCTCTGGGTTCTACGTTCTACACAAAAAATGTTTGCCCCATTTTGGGGTCGGGCGAACAGTTTGCTTCTGCTGGTGCTCATACCTCGAAACGAGCATCAACTATTTCGGAACTTAGAAATCTCTGTCTCTCACTCTCTCACGCTCGCGAGCTTTCGCCCTAGATGCAGCTGTTTCTCTCTCACTTTCTCCTCTCTCTCTCTCTCTCTCTCTCTCTCTCTCTCTCTCTCTCTCTCTCTCCCTCTCTCTCTGTCTCTTTCTCTCTCTTTCTTTCTCTCTCTCCCACTCTGTCTCTCTCTCTCCCTATTACACGTCTCTATTTTTATATATCTCCCTCCACGCTTCGCTTCAAGACCCCGACAAAACCAGAAAATAGGCAAAAACTTGTACACGCCCGCTCAGCAGGGTGAACAGCCCCTTTTTTGGGGGGCGACGCCCGGGTGGTATGTGCGTCCGGAGGAGCCCTCCGGAATTTTGTGAACAAACCGCCCGGCGCGCGACACGACAAAGGAAGTTATTGGAGGTGTTTTTTGGGCGTTGGATCCGGGGGCTTTTTACGAATTTTTGGGGGTTACAGGGATTTTAAAGGCAATGTATATTCTTGGAATTGATTAAATTCTTCAGGTGTTTGTATCTTTAGAAAGGCTATATCAAAAAAATTACGGCGGTTGCGATTCAAAATTTTCATATTTTCATACTGTAGAATGCATAACAATTGCATATGACATTATTAATGTTGTTTCGAAACCTCTAAAAATCCGCGGTTTTTGGAAGATTTTAGCTACAATTTTAAACTCGAAAAATCACATTTGTTCTTTTTTACGCTTTGAAAAATGATTTTTCTACATAAAATTTTAGTAAAGAATTCTAAACGTATTCGTTCCAAGTCGAAGGGCTTTTCCCCTAATATCTCGACCGCGCATCCCAAGTACCTACCTATCACAAAAACTATCGTTCAAAACCCCCACAGAACCAGTTACACAACACACCGCCCCCATCCCAATAAACGGAAGAATGGCATCCGTAGCCGATTCCGCGCGAATACAAAAGACACGACACGGACAGCGGCCGCGTCACGGTAATACGATACGATCCCCCCTCCAAGCAGCCATTCTCGACACATACATACACACACGTGGGGGGTGTTTGGCATTGCAAAGTTTATTCCGAAGCGTCGGGGCTGCAAATTTGCAACAGTTTTCTGGGCATAATCTTGCCTGTTTTGTTTGTTTTAATATTAAATTTTGGATGACATAGCCTCCAAAGTTTTTAAGAGACTTAGGTATACAGGGTGTCCCAAAAAACCCCCCTACCTAGCGGTCCGCAGTCGATTCCGATTTTTACGATTTAGGTATCTATCGAAAGCTCTCGAAAAGGCGAGAAAACAAGGAGGGTTGAATTTCTTAATTCAGGCTTTTTATTTGCTAATTTTATGTCCAAAAACCATGAAAACTGCTGATTTATGCGAGATCTGCATGCTAATTGCGAAATTCCTGATGAAAAATTCCCGGCTTTTTAGGAAAACCTGACATATCGATAGAATCAGATTAAATCTTAGAAAACGAAACCCGCTTGTTTTCTCGCCTTTCCGAGAGCTTTCGATTGGTATAAAAATCATTCCGATCCGATCCGATTGACGACCTCTAGAGGGGGGGGGTTTTTTGGGACACCCTGTAGACTTAGGATTAGACTTAGGCTTCGCTCAGGGTTGGCCTAGACTTCGCTTCACTTGCTAGACCTCCAGCTTTGGCTTAGGCATTGGTTTAGTCTTGGGTTTGGGCTTAGACTGAGGCTTAGAGTTGGGCTTATGCTGATACTTGAGCTTAGACTTAAGGTTAGGCTTGGCTTCGACTTGGCTTCTTCTTGGACTTACGCTTCGCCTTGTTGTTAGGCCTGGGCTTGGACCGGGGCTTCGTCACAGGCCCAGGTTTAGCTTCAGCCGGGCTCGGGCTTAGGCTTCGGCTTAATTTGGGCTAAATTTTCCATCCTCGCTTACTTCGAATTTTTGGCTATAACTCCTTTTCTAGAAATAGCGTCAAAACCCGAAGTTTACACATACCTATCAACGCTGCCATTCACCCGAGCAATGTGACCTGCCACTGCATCTCTCTCACTCGTTATTTTTCGGTTTTCCTCTTTATACGGCAGGTTTTCCCGTGTCGCGATTCGCGACCCACCCCCGATCCGTCCGACACGCCGCATCAATGTGCCGGGGTCATGTTTATTATCGAGTGAATCATTTTTGTAAATCATCGACAATTTTCTCGACATAATAGGCTTCATCAGCTTCCTTCTTTTGAAACGTTAGTTTTGCCGTCTGGCCCAAAATTTTGTATTTACTTTTACTTCCGCTTTTTCGATGTCTTCCTTGCTTGGTGCATTTTTTTCTCATTTTCGGCTTGCCTTCAATGTGTATAACGGAGCGTGTTCAAAAACCATTTTGCTCTTCCAGATGCGAATCTGAACTCTCGGCACCTCCAACTCTCTGCACGCCCTAGGATTGTGTCATGTCCAAATACTGGGGCGATGAACGCCATCCGGATGCCGTTTATGCGGTTTACTTGAAGAAGGTGAGCAAAAATTGTTTGTTTTTTTAGATAGACAAAAGAATCAGCGCACCGAGGAAATCGTGATAAAATCGCATACTTTTCTTAGGAATCGACCTTGCTGTGCAGTATATTAACGTTAAAAATTCTGGTATTTAAGATGGCTTATGTTAAGACTCAATATGATTTTTAACTTTTGAAAGACTGATGAGGAATTAACTATCGACCTCAAAAATTAAACATTCCCGATCATCGGCCTCCTCCTCCCACCTCAACAATCCGCTTTAGGTCCGCTACGTTCCACCCGCCGGCTATGAGGGCGTTCCAGTAAGTCGCTTTTCCGCTTTCAATTCCATTGTTCGATTTTTGGCATTTCAAACGGACCCCTTGAAGCTCTTTGAATATTGTAAGCGTAACAAAAACAAGGTGTTCTTTATTTTTCTACTCCGAGACTAGCGCTGACTCATAATGCGCGCTTTCCCCGCTTTTCTGATTCATATTGTAGGTAGGGAAACCTCTTTCTGGCGTTACTACTACTATTTTTTTGAATGTGCACGCCTTTTCCTACCATCCTCGCGAAGGATACGTTTTCTTTTTCAACTATTTTCAACTTTTCGATCCGTGTCTCGGTATTCAAGGATCAAAAACAACCATTGAGCCTCCAAGATAGCCTGCAATAGCTGCTCATCTATTCCCAAATCCTTCTCCCAAAAAGCAAAAGGACTGATGAGAGTGGGATTCGAACCCACGCCCCCGGAGGGACTGGTGCCTAAAACCAGCGCCTTAGACCACTCGGCCATCTCACCGCGACGGGTGGGGAGGTGGGGGCGCACTATGCGTCACCGCCCAGGCCCGGGTTGGCCCTAGCGTCTATTTGGCATTCCGTTTTTGACTCTATTGGGATGCAAATTAGTTACTTATCCAAAACAAATTCTTAGTGGTGTAATTTGAAGCGAAGAAATGCAGAATTTCGTAAGAAAGACCGGTGTTCCTTGACGTAACTTCCGGACCTTAAATTCGTATAATCTACATGCAAATTTGGGTGGGAACCTTGTGAATCCGGAAAACCAGCCCAATTCAGCATTTATCGGTCCCGATTCCGGCCTCGGCCAACCGACGCTCGGTGGAAACGTGCACAATTTAGGGGGCCAGTTCCGAGCCGAGCCGGGCCAGCCAGCCCTGGCACCCCCAAAAAGCCATTCCCCACCCCCTATTCTGGGCCTGGATAGCTGCTCTAGCTAGAGAAAACTACTCCCACCCGCACCCAATATTTTTGGCTCACTACTAGTGGATATATATTATTCTATTCAATGGCCGCTGAGGAAATTCAGGAAGAATTGGTGGGCAGAATTGTAAAGTAAACCAGTAAACCTTGTAAATTACCGTTTTCTACTTTTAATTCTCGTATTTTTATTTATTTCACCCGTAGTTTTAATGATCATGCTAATTTTTCGCTTAATAGCCCACTATGGAATGTTCCATAGAGGTAAAACCTTGGACTTTTCAACCAGTGAACCAAATTTATGCATGGCAAAATGAAAAAAGGGTTTGAAAGTCGTTTCATTATTTTTATCCCTTAATTAATTATTAAATTTTTTTGCTAAATATGCAAATTTTACAGTGTTTTTGATAAGCCAGCCTTGAACTCGACACAATTGTCCGTAGATCCGTCGCAATCTCCTGATTTTTCTATTAAAAGCCACCTCACCTGTTTTCCTTGGCCTTCCGGCTGCGGAGTGCATTTGTTTACAGAACCGCTTTGCTCCCCTCTTTCTCCTGGCCCTCACTCACATTTCAGCGCCCCTCAACCATTTGGATTGATTTCTGTTTTCAGCACGTGGGGGGTCAATAACATAAGGGCTTTACGTATGACAAGGGTTTTGAAACCTGATCTCGATCATTTTGCATAAAAACCCGACTTTTCCCAGTTTGATTGGGTTCTCTTTCCTTCACTTGCTCTTTATATACATCCATATACCTATATATGCTTATACCGTGGCTAGGTCGTAATGCAGTACGCTATCTAAAATCCATTACGCAATCTAAATTCTAATTTTAAAAGTTTTCTTATCTGACAAAATCTGTAGTCCTGCCTTGCTCGTCCCTTTAGATTGCTTGCCTGATTGTATTATTTTTGTTTCGTTTTCCTCCTGCGGTTTCCTGTCGCGGTCCCTTTAAAAATCCCTCGTTCGTTTGCTAAGGTGTGTTAACGTACCTTTAAGAACCTTTACGTACCTCTAAGTAGCAATAGTTAACAGAATTATACTACCGGCGCTTCCAGTCTCGGCGCCCTTAAAATGCCTGGTTTCGCTTGTACCTTTATGTACATTTGCGTACGTTTAAAGTAGAAATGGATGCCAGAATTATACTACCGGAGATCCCTGTCCCGGCCCCTTAAAAATCCATATCTCGTTTGTTAAGATATGCACATTTACGTACCCTGAAAGTAGCAATAGGTAGCAGAATCATAATACCGAAGCTTCCGGTCTCGATTTTTTAAAAAAGCTCTGCTACCCTATTTCGGTCAAGAGCCATTAATCCCCAAGATTCCGCATCGCGGAAGAGACCCCCGTCCAATACCATGCTAAAGCCACTCGAAGCACACGCGCGCCCCCGCGAGGCTTCTCCGGTTGCCGCGCGGCTTACACGGAGGCCCCGTGGACCCTGTCGAAGAACTGAGAAAGGGGCCCTTCCCTAAAAGGAAAGACCCCCGCCGTCGAATGGGTTGTGGTGCGGAACACAAAAGATTTCTTTCCCCCTCGCCATTCCGGTGCCAGCAAGCAAGTCGGCTTACCGTCATCGGCAGCCCCCGTCGGTGGTGGTTTGTCGGCACAGTCAAAACATAGGCCCTCGAGGGAAACGCGGCACACACGTGTCCATTCACTTTGCCGTGCGTTCATTTTGAGGAGTGTTATTGATTTTCGCAATTAATTTAATTGCGCTCTCTCTCCGCCGTTTTCTCTCTCTCTTTCTCTCGTTATCTGTCTTTATTTCTATCTCGTTCTTTATCTTTTTCTATCTCGCTCTCTCTCTCTCTCTCTCGCTCTCTCACTCTCTCTATCTCGCTTTCTTCTCTCTATGTGGCACGAAGCCTGAATTTTTCTATGAAGTTCGAGGGTATCTCGCTTTAAATTAAACATGAAGCTGCTGGTTGCGAATTTTCTAAGTAATAATGCCGCTACCGAGATTCACTTAGATTTCCGTTTTTCCAATACGTTCCTATCAACGTCACCACGACCCCAGCCAATTTTCCATCGCCTGTTTATCTTTGGCCAACTCCCCGTCGAGCGAAAAACCACCCAGGAGCCAGCTGTTGTTGGGATGCGTCATTTGAAAGCTGGTTTTTTTGGGGCCGGACCTCTTCCTGAGGCCTTGGGCCGATGCTTTACCTTGATTAATTACTATTCCCGCAAGGTATCTAAAATTTTCAACTTTTAATCCTTGAAGATGTCCGACATTTTAGACAGGCTGTGGTTTTAGCCCCTAGGCATTAGCCTAAGCCTAAGCATAAGTTTAAGCCTAAGCATAAGTTTAAGCCCACGTATAAGTCTAAGCCTAACCCAAGCCGTAAGCCAAAGCCCAAGGGTAACCGTGATCGTCCGTCCCCGGTCCATAGTCCGTTCCACCACTCGAACACCTCAAGACCCTCTAACGACTTCAAAACCCCCTAAAACCTCAAGCTCCCGGTGACCCCATCAAACCTCACGGTCCTCCTCTACTTTCGCTTTAAAATTCAATCCAAACGGTCCAAGTCGATCTCGCCCGGTCTGGTCACCCCCTCCCCGTTTTCAGTAATAGCCCACATTTTACGAGGGGTGTGGCGGCTACCCCCATAGAAGTGAGGAGTTGCGCAGTCCTCCCCCCTCGGCTCCCTCTGAAGTTATTGTGAAAGTGTCGGGGGGCGCGCGCTCAGCTCTCGAAGCGATCGCCGGCGCGCGAAAAGGGGGTCGCGATATAAAAAGGGGCCACTCGACCCCGGCCTCCCTTGATGCCCCAAGCAAGCATAGAGGAGGGGGGCAAGCAACAGCAAACGATCCCTGATCCCTCGCGGATTCCTGGGAGCGCATACTGCATACGAATCTCCACCTCTGCGCGTGGCCAATTGCCAGCCTCTGCGGCTGGATTCTGCGGGGCTTCTGCGCTGTACAAGTGGGTACTGTATGCGAGCGGAATCGCTACTTTTATTATCGACTGATATTCCGCTCAGCTACGCTAGATACCTACTACGTTATCTGTATTGTCGCGTACCATTCGATTACGCTATTCTACTAACAAAGTAAGTGCATCGCTCACTGTAGTCCAATAAGCCATTCGATTACGCTATTTTACCATTCACTTACACATTCACCATTACCTTACTGTCAGCTAAAGGTACCGCTGAGGTATATTCCGTTACGCTGCTACGTGCAACTGGTTACTGTATCCAAACGGAATCCCCAACCCTTAACTCAAAAATTTGAGTTTTTGAACGCCACGTCGTTTTGCAGCGTACTCATTCAGTACACGACTGTACGCTAACGTGTATCGGGAATCACCACGGAGGCTTATTTCGTGAAACTACGCTCCGCGATCGGCTACTGTATTCGAGCCAACATTTGTTTTTTGGAGCTCGAAAAACACGTTTCCGGCAGATTCCGTTACGCTATACCCAATACACAGTGTTTTCCGTATTGTCGCGTACTATTTTAGTACGGAACTGTACGATTTTTGGAATACGTTGCGCTACAATACGCTTGACGTTACAAAGTGTTTTCACACCACGCTATTTTCCGGAGCAGCGAAGCAGCAACATACTCTGCTGCCATCCGAAGCTTAAGCCCGAAACCCCCAGGCTTTATCCTCGCCGCGGCGCCTAGTCCGTTCCAAATCCCAAAACCATCCAACCGTAGCGTCCAGCCCAATCTCCGCCTCTCTCTTCAATCGGTCTATTCGCAGCCCGAGAAAAACCGGCCGTCAGCTGGTGCTCCCTCTCTCTCTTGCATTCCTCGATTACTCGGTGGGCAGTCTCAGTCGTCGTGCCATATTGCCGAGGGCGAGATTTGGCGCCGCGATTATTGCGGCGGCGTCAATAGGTGTATTGCGTAGCTGGCGTCTGTATCTACGTTTGGGCTCAGGAGCTCGTTCTCATTGATTTGCGGCGATTTGCATATTCATGTGGTGACGTCAGGTCGAGCTTAGAGATTTGCGCAGCTAAATTGAGCTGAAGCCAAGTCGATTTGAAGCTATAATTCGAAGCCAAACAGCCCAAGCCAAGTGAGCTTGAGTTGAAGCTCGAGCTCAAGCTCAAGCTGTCAAGAAAACCGTGCGAAGCTCGAAATCTGGCGATTTCGAACCCAGCTGTGCAAGCGCGAAAAACCGAATCAAGCTCACATCGGTGCAATTTTGCTTATTTTTCAAGTTGCCGAAGCTAAAAATAAGTTGGCTTAAGCTCAAGCTCAAGTTGAAGCTCCCAA